TCCAGCCAACCCAGGTGGCCTTGCGTGGGATGGGAAGAACAGTCATAACACAGTCGTTATCAGGGAGTGATTGTTCGGCTCCAGCCTTGGGCCAGCAGCTGGCACCGTGATGGGGGTCCGCAATTTTGTAGCTGCTAACTAAATGAAAAAAAAGGCATAACCTCAAGCCAGGGACGTCCTAAAATGTGATTAATTTGTCCCAAAAACAAGGTTTAAAATGATCTTGTCACACAGTTTTTGTTTCTTTTGCACGGGTCAGAGTAGCCTCTTTTGGGCCTTTAAATTTCACATAAATAAATGCACTTCCTGTCTGTTTGCCACACAAGCAGAACTTGATCAACCAAACTTAGGCCCTGACGGTTCGTATCTACATCAGGTATTATTACGTTATTGTGTTCCCTAGCAACCACCAATCAGCAGGCTAAACTGGCTCAGTGTGTTAATGCACCTGTAACCTTAGAAAAGCATTGTATCATTTTAATATATTTAATAATATATTGACAAAACTTTCATTACGCATGATGTATCATGTTGCCTAGCAACCACCTATAGCCAGATTAAAAGCACAGCACTGTAGCATGTGCTGGTTCAGTAAATGTCCCAAATGGTTTGATTTCAGCAGTAAAAACAGGATTTGACTTTAAATTATAATGTAATTATTTTATTAAGAGTTTAAATTTGCGTCAACAAGAATGATTATTATGATTTTGTACTCTGACTGTCAGAACTTGAAAGAACAATTTCAAAAAGCCAAAATAAATCACTCTATATCACAATATTTACGTGAGCACAGAGTTAAGGATTTGAGGTTAGGACTTGGACATCAGAGAGTTAAAGAAGGATTTGGACTCTGTGGATGCTGACCCCACTGTGGGACCCCACCTACAATATGTGCTTGGACTTTTTTAAGAAAAAATATTTTAGGACCTTTTAACAGAAAGGAGTGATGATTGAGTGTTTTGTTGGATTGTAACGCTGTGTGTGTCCCGTGTGTGTCAGAGCTGATGTACAGAGTGGACATGGTGACATGGAACCAGTACCTGCGATGGGGGGTCGTCTACATCCGGCTGCACAGCGGCAGGAACGTCACAGAGGCCCGAATAGACCAGTGAGTCTTTCTGCTGTTTCACACAGACTGGATTTATGAAA